GAATCATCAGGGTACCCTATTGGCCAAATACACAAATCACAAATCTTTGTCCTCAAAAGAAATCTTTGTCCTTAATGCAGTAAATGAGGCTCCTCCCAAGTTATACCTGAAGTTTTCTCCCTTCTCTGAGCTTCTGTACACACTCAGGTTGCCTGGCCAGATCCTATGGATAGTCAGCTTTCAGGGAGACATTGCTTCCTCTATTCCTCCCTCTTTGATACTGGGTTAGGTGATCTTTCTGTGCATCTCCACAGCCCCCTGCAGCACCCTTTCATAACATCCTAAATCATGGTTGCCTATTTATCGGGTTGTCCCTCATTAGACTGGACACTTTTTGAGGACAGAGTTCTCTTAGTCTTATGACCACTATATCCTCAGTGTCTAGTATACTGCCTGGTACACAAACACCAGCTGAGTGAATGACTCAATAAATTAATAAACCCAATGCTGAGATAGATTTTAATAAGCTTTAATACTTTATATGATGCTTTTGATTTTTAGTCATTTTTGCATATTTACAAGGGGATTAAGAAGAGAAAGATTATGTGGAATATGTGTTTGTATGTGTAAGGCTGTGAACAAGCTGAATGTGTGAAGTCACCAATGTCCCTGTTTTCTCAGAAAGTCCAAGGGGAGGGAAGGACAGCAAAGCAGCACACCTAGTTCTGAGCTGTTCAGATGCTACACGTGCAAGTAAGAGAGAAGGATGCATATAATGCTTCTAATATTGAAGACCACAGGAGAGTAATGCAGGGAGCCCCAGTAGTGGATGATGGCCAAAGGACTCTAGGCAACATGTATGTGTGCATGAATGTATGTATTTTATTAGAGCAACTACTTAATGTGTCAATATATGCAGATTACACAAGATAGTAGAAACTTTTGAGAATTAAGATCATCAATATCAAGACCAATAAATAAAAGGAAACAATCCTTTCTGGGAACCTCCCACAGTGGGAATTGGCAATTCCTGTTTCTAAGGCATTCCCCTCACTGAGCTGTTTCCCTTGTGAAACCCTCCTCAGTACCTACACTGAGTAGCTCAGTCCATGGAACTTTGGAGGGTATAAGGAAACTTAATAACTAATAATCCAGCTAGCAAAGTGACATCTGGGAAATAGTAAACAAATTAAACAGATAAAAAGATCCCAGGGAGTTTACAGGGTGACTTGTCTCTCTGACCTTCAAAAGACAAGAAGCCTTTCTGGGATGAGAACTAACCCAAGCTCCAAAGAATAAGTAACATTTAGTCAAGATCATGACAATAAGCGAAGTCTTAAGTAGAGAAAGACTCGGAATTAAGATGCACAGAAAGAGCGTACATATATCGAAGTACCAAGAATTTTAGCAACTTTACATCTGATATGAATGGAAAAACAATAAGAAATCCCAAGATTTGATTCAGACTCAATAAATAGGCATGCCTTATTTGGTTAAGGTGTTTTGATTACTTTCTCAAAAACGCCCATCCCTAACATTCTCTGCTGTTGATTCCTGCACTGGATTGTATACTCCTCAAGAAGACCACAGCCTTGCTTTCAGTCCTCTCTGGCTCAGAGGTGGAGCTCATAGAAAGGTCACTCCACTAGGGTCAATCCACCAGGCCTCTCACACTCTGCTGCTTGTTCTGAAGAGTACACTATGTCTGTGGTCTTCTTCAGAACGGAGAGATGCAGCTGGCATGAGGAAAAGATGAATAACACAAATCCAGCCAACTCATTATTGGGGTTGCAAGGCTTCAGCATCTCAAGAAGGAAATCCCATTAATGTGTGTGTGTGTGTGTGTGTGTGTGTGTGTGTGTGTGTGTGTGTTTTCTGGTCTAAAAGATATACTATGAAATCCAATAAAATAACATTACCTACGACACTGGGTTCTTCTTATGGGAAGCCCCTGTTATAAAGTACCACTGGCTTATTCCAGATGATGCAGTAAAATACCACTTCCCATAATAAGCTTTAACCAACATTAGGTGATGTGGTATGATACTGCTTCAATTACTGAAATGATGTCATTCAGGTACGGTTTCAAGATAAAAATGAAACCTGGCCAAACCGGCAGGACTTGCTTTTATTTTATTTTATGATGGTTGAAGAATCAAAGAACCTGACGTTAACTGGCTGGATGTGGTGGACCTTTCCTGACTTCTGAAGGTGAGTCAGCTCGTTTTATTAACAAGTAAAAGCTAAGTAAATCATGAATCAATGCCCACAAAGCAGGAAAAAATGCCTGTTTCCCACTAAAAATCGCAAAGTGTGATAAACTTATTTCCGTTAAGCAAACTTCTGGAGTTTTTACTGGGGGATTTCCCAGGCACACAGAAGCAAAGATACATAAACCAAAAGCGGAAGGTAAGCACATTTCCTCTTAGTGTTTTTAGGCTGGACACTAATGCAAACACAGTGAATGATTCAGGGCTGTTTCATGTCCTCCTCCTCTCTGAACGTGATCCAGAGAGATAACCTTCCTTCCACACACTTGTCCATTCCAGGCAGGCTGGCACAGGGATGGGGCATACATCTTGTGGGAAGAGCAGAGCAGCAAGGCAAAGCCACAAAATGAAACGTCCACTTCGTTCACCCAGCCATATATATAAAGAACCACTACCCTCCCCTTCCTCTTCATTTTTCCTTCCTAGATTAGTTACATTAGCAAGTTCTGTAATTAGTTCACACCCTCTGGCTTCTAAATCTGAATCTTTCAGCCAAGTCAAGGTTGCTGGTCTCTGTTAACAGCAACAGCTACTCCTGTCTGCTTCATGCCATGTAACATGATCTGTGCTTTTCCTGCTTTGGTTTATTTATTCCTAATCCCTATGAGGTTCAAAACTGAGTTAAGGGACACTAACTACATCACCCATGTATATTCCTGCCAAAAATGTGAACATCTGTTTAGTAGGAAATCATCATATAAATCCAGACTGTAAAACATCCTGCAAAAGAAATGTTACAAATTCTTAAAAAACTGTCAATGTTATGAAAGATAATAATAATAATAATAATAATAATAATAATTTTTAAAAGCTGGGGAACTTCATTCGATTCAAGAAGACCAAGAAGAAATGAGCATTGTGATCCTTGTTAGATCCTGGATCATAAAAAGGAAGAAAAAAACCCCACCTATAAAAAACATTATTCCCAAAATTGGGGAAATTTGAATATTGATTGTATATTAGATAATAATACCATATCAATGATAAGTTTCCTAAGTGTGATAATTATATTGTGATTATGTGGGAGAATGTCCTTCTTAGGGGATCTCTTCTGAAGTAATTAAGGTTAAATTAGCTCAATGATGTTTGCAACAACCTCATAAATCACGCAGAAATAACAAGCAAACAAACAAACAAAGGATCTGCCAAGTTAGGAAAGGGAAGACAAAAAGAGATATATATATTTAGAGAGAGAAGGTAGCAAAATATTAACAGTGGGTGAATATGGGTATAGGGTGTATGGGTGTTCATTGTACTATTCTTCCAGTTTTTTTAATATGCTATAAATTTTCAAAATTGAAAAAAAATTATATAAAATGTTTTTTAAAAAAACAACCCAAGCATCTGGAGTTTCTAAGGAACACATTCAAACCATAGGTAACTGTGGAAGCTGCATTCAGATATCAGGTTTTTTACTTGCTACTGTTGTTCTTGCCTCCACCATTAGCTAAAATCTTTTTCTACATTTATTCTTTTAATGACTGTGTACAAAAAAGAAACTTCATGGATTGTTTTTCTCATATTCGTGTAAAGAGTTTTTGTGACTACTAATAAGATGAGATGAAAAAGAGAAGATCTCATTGGATGGTTTCTGAATTTTACCACTGTGAAAAATTAATAAACAGAAACCTTTAAAATGGAGTCAGGAGACTAGATGAGAGAACTCTCATGCACATATCACTTAACCCACACTACTGACCCCAACAGAAGAGATGTATGTTGCATTTCCAGCGGGAAGTAATATTACTTTACTACCTTAGCTGGAGGAAGAAGAAATTGCTTCTTGACCAGTAAAGGGTCAGCCAATGGGGAAACTGCCATAACTCAACCAATGAAAAGTCACTATACTTTGGACCATCACTTTCTTCCAATGCACTCTTCTTTACAAGAGCCCCTCCCAAGTCCATTAAGAGTATTCCTCTCCTTTATTTCTTTGGACTTGCACATGGTTTGCCATTAGCCTGAATGTCCTGAATTACAGTTATTTCTTATTCTGGAATAAACCCATTTTTCTGCAGATGTAGTGGCTGTCTATTTGTTCAAGATCAACACTAACTTGTGGAGCATGATTCTCAGCCAGGCAGAATACAATGAGATGATGGAGAGCCCATGGCTAATATCATTCAAAACCTTACTCCCTCCACCCCGTGGGTGTCTGAGAGGAACCTCTAAATAACTCAAATCAAGCCAGATGGTAAGTGGGGAGGAACCAAGAAGAGTGGCATGCAGTCCACATCATTGGAGGGTCAGTCCAAAGTGTCAAGGTTTCAAAATTTTCTCCCAAAAACTCTTTATGAGAGTGGTATCAACATAAAGTATACAGCGAATAGCGCCTTCCCTGTCACCCATACAGAGTCCTGTGCCCTTTTATGCTGCACTCTCAACCTAACACTGCTGACCTATACTCTCAACCTAACACTGCTGACCTGTGCACCGGAAGGTTCCACCTTACGTTTGAAAAGCATTCCCACTGGTAGGGACATTACCTTAAAACTGAGTTCCTGAAACAAGCGAAGGAAAGGTGGGAAGGACAGAAACATTCTGATGTGTTCTCCCAGCATCAGACACTTCAGTTGGCAGCCAATATCTTTTCATTTTTCCCCACGGAAAATAAAACAGACAAGATATTTGATCCACATGTTTTGTGTATGTACTTTTTAAATGTCATCTTTGGGTAACTCAACCCATCAATGGATTATTAATAAAATTCAGCAACTGTCAAAGCCCTTCTCCGTGTGGAAGGAGGTTTGGCCGCAACACCTATTAGAAGAGAGAGACAGATGGCCTTACCTCTCAGCTCCCGCGTCCACAGCTGTGAGTGGAGGTAACTGGGAGGAGGGGTTGTGGGGGCTCCCCTGTACATTATGTCCTGGAGAAGGGTGACTGACAGGATGTGGAGGTGGCACAGCCCCAGCAGCTGTTCCGCTTCGGCTTGAATGATTGCTGGAGAAAATGGAAGCTGAAATCAAGGGAGAACAAGCATCAGACTGTGCCCCAAGTGAAACTCACATTTTTTAAACATCAAAGGCGGACAGCAAGCATATTTTAGGGGCTTGTTTTCCTCTTTGTGGTTTTCAGGGAACACTTCTCTTATTGGAGATACATAGCATTGTTTTCATGGTGAAACAGGTTCCCCAGCGGATATGCCTGTAGGACTCCCTGAGGAACTCATGCGCGGCTGACTCCAGGCTGAGGGTCATGGTTTCCCATAGCAGTGCCTTGCCCCGCCAGCCTCCTGTCTGACACAGTATCATGAGTCAGTCTTCTAATGTCTGCATCTGGGCGAAGGTCTCTACATTAGCACCCTTCCGTCAGGAGGGACGGGAGTCAGGTAACAGAAGATCTGCTCTGCTGACCCATAAGGCCTTCGTCCACTCCTCATCGCTGCTGCCAGCACTGTGGGTCAGGCTGGGGTCTCTCTTTGTCACTGTTAAGTCAATGTAATGAGAACGGAGCTGCCCCCATCCTAGCACCCATGCAGGATCTTGCACTCTTTTAACTTCAGAGTCTAACTGACTCCAGGCATTTCCCTGATGGCGTGATGGATGCCTGTACTTGGTCTTCATGGAGGAGGAGTCTTATCCTAACACTGTAGAGTATGGAAAGGTGGTCTCACAGGCGCCGCTGGGATCATCCCCGTTGTTGCCTATTATGACAAAGAGTGAGTTACAGCCTCATCCGTAGGGGCAGCCCCACCTCTGAGAATGGTACGTGACCTCAAATTTAAATGTGGCCCATTTAGATGGGCTAAGTGGTAGGATGTCACAGGAGATGCTGGGCTTGTCACTTGCAGGGTCTGTCACTAGCAGAGAAGCTCTGGCAGTGTCTGGAACATACTCAGCAGACATCTCATTAGAGTGCCATCACACGAGCATCCCTACACGAACTCTCTTTAACTTCCTTCTCTGTACAGAGCTATGCTGAGCTTTATGCCCGACCCTGCTCTTTTTTGAACTTACTATACTGATATCAAAGAATAAATGGATAAAAAAAAAAACAAATCAGGTTAAGGATCAAGACAAAGGAGCCACATAATCAAAGCGATTGGAAGGTTTAAAAGTTCAGGGAGCTGTATTTTTAGACCAGCACCACATTTCTCCAACCTCTTCTGGATAGAATTAATACCTCAGATGACCCAGCCTCCAAAAGCTTAATCCAATGGGATAAGAGTTCAAGGACTTAAAGGAACATGTCAAAAGGCAGAATTACCATCTTCCCGCTTAAAAAGCAACTGACAGGGGTGTGATCTGATTTGAAGGGTTTATTTCTGGCAAGTCAGCATTGTGTCAGGTTAACTCTTGTCCTCAGAAACCTACATCCTGCACAGCCCTCTACATCTTCAAGAAGTGGTGTGACCAGAAAATGCTTACTGGCTCAAAAAGGCCATGTTTCCGCCTACAGAAAAGTTGCACATTTGCAAACACGCTGCAGTCACCTTATGAATCACTGCCCTCGTTTATGCTCATCTCGCTCAGGCGACCACAGTTCTGCTTGTATTCCAAATAATAATTTTACCCAAGAGAGAAGGCTGTGGTTTGGATTCACTGTGGCAATAGTTTTAGGACTGGTGTTTGTCAGCATACAGTGTGGTGTTTTATATACTATTCCAAACACTAATGAAATAATAAGAGGTCGCAGACACACAGTGAAACACAGCTAATTTTTTTTATACCTTAGTGTAGTGATGTGAGCAGCTCCTATTTGTTTTACTGCAATTGCTGAATGCACCCATCACTTAACTATCCTCTGGAGGTGTTTCTGTGTGTGTGTGTGTGTGTGTGTGTGTGTGTGTGTGTGTGTCAAGGGAAGCACTGCCTCTGCTGCTTGTAACTCGATGGGCAATAGGGAAGCTTGGTGTGCACACTTTATGCTCTACTCCATGGTTCATGGAAAATGGGTTGCTTCCCAGAGGTCTACTTTAGTATATTAGCTATGTTTTTGCTTTAGCTGCAAGGAAATAAGATGGGAAATTTGGTGTGTGTTTTTTTTCCAGCTTGCTGTACACTATAAGCTAGGACTGATAAGTACCTTTCCTTCATCTCACTTAATAGCTAGGACCAACCATCCATTATCCATCTATCCATCATCCATTCATCCATCTATCCACCAAACATTGTGTTTATAATTTATTTATTTAAATCATCACCAAGAATATGTTATTATTTATTTTTAGATAGAGAGAGGAAGGAAGGAAGGGTGAGAGGGATGGGAGAGAGAAAGAGAGGATGAGAAGTCTAGAACAAACTCTGGTGAGATGACTTAGCAGAAGCTTGTAATTCAGTGTCTGCACAGAGTAGTTTGCATGCAGGGCCCAGGGCAAAACTGTTGATTGTGGATGTTGCCTGTGACCCACATAATGACCAGAGAAGTAATAGGAGACACAGTGTGTCTTCCCAACATATACTGTACCTCCATTTCACTGACCTTTCCAATAAAATGGACAAAACTCTGGAGTCAGAGTACTATAGCATCAGGAGATTCGCCCTGGGCCTCTACCAAAGACCCATGTTTCTCAGAGATTTTCACGAGGGCACACACACAGAAAGCCTCTCTTGCTAACACCGACTTCTAGGAGTTTCCAACCATATCGCAGTCATACATCCAGGATTCCAGCATACTTGATGCAGTCTAAGAATATTCATTCATTCGTTCAAACACAATCTTCCAGCCCCTACTCTGTACCAGGCAGGGGCTAGTCTCTCTTACTGTCTAGAGTAGGGGTGTCGAACTCAATCAGAGAAGGGGCCAAAATCTAAAATCCAGCCTAAATCGCGGGCCGAATGGTTTACTGAACAGTCATAAACTGTCATTGTGATGGAAACGCAGCGGAGTGCAGTGATGACAGCACGGTGTGGGCCACATTGCAAGGCCTGGTGGGACGGATTTGGCCCGCGGGCCTTGTGTTTGACACATGTGGTCTAGAGTCTGAATACCTGCCAACTCTACCTAGACCTGCCCACCACAACACACACTTCCAGACAAATGCTCTGGCTTTTTAAAGTGATTTTTAACCCCAGGAAGAAAATATCCATGTTAGAGTATTCTAAGGTCATTCACAAAAGGAAAAATTTCCTTCCATACACACTCAAAATGATTTCCAACCTCAACAATGGGGCATCTGAGGCCTACTGATCCAAGCATAAAGAAGAAAACAGATTCCTCCAGAATCCAGGGCAATATTAACAAAACTCCTGTGATCAAATCAACCGGCACACACAGGCTGCCCACAGGGCGGCCTTCATTGTCCGCGTCACCTCAGGGGTCAGCGCTGCATTCAGGGGTGGAAGAGGGCGTTTAGGTGACCTTCCAGGCAGGGCCGGTGACTGGCAGCCGGAACAACGGATTAGGCATGGCAGAGGAACATACTGGAAAGTCTTATTGCTTTTGGGATTAAGAGATGGTGAACTCCTCACGGAAATAAAAGCCTGTTCTTGAGATGAATGCATAGGCTAGCCAAGGATCATGAGCTAGCCTCCCTGCTGTTTGGGGCTTTCTGTCTCTCCAGGGCTTGGCTTACTGCTCTGCCCAGCCCCACACTGTCTCCTGCAGAGGTAGGTGGAGGAAAGCCAGTGGGGCTTTATCATGTTCAAAAGCAGCATCTGTTGATCTATTCTATGGGGTACCCAGATTCCATGTGGCTGGTGATGGGGACCAGGTATTCTAGGCTGGTGCCTTTAACTAGTTCAGGATAATTTGAATCAATAGGCAGGTCTCTTTCTATCCAAATGAAAGAAATCTCGATTTCTGATGAGTACAGACAGGATACCCTTGTGGACACTTCAGCTGTCACATATTCACCGTGGGAATAGAGGGAGAAAAGGGATGTTAGTTGCTTCTCTAAATGAAACCTACTTCTCTCAGGCCTAACCCCAGACCCAGGGAAGACCATCACAGACACAGCCTTATTTAGAGGCAGGAAGACCTCCCTGGCCAGGTTGAGGTAATATTAAAGAACAGCCAATTGGAGGGCATATTGCCGTTGAAAACTGTATGGATAGCTACAGTCCTGCTTCTCAAGCTTTAATGTGCCAACAAATCAGCAGAGTAAAACACTGATTGTTATTCACTGGGTCCTGGAGGCAGAGATGCTGAGATTCTGAGTTTGTATCAAACTCTCCAAGTTCCTAGCAATGTCCAGGGACTGCACTTTGAATATTGAGTGCTGGACCACATGTGAGCTGGGTTTCATCTTCTTACTGTCCCATGCCTCAGAATCAACAGTGAACATTTATTGAGTACTTTGCAAACCTTTCCCTGGTTTACTGACAAGGAACATGAGACCTACCTGGGTTACTGAGTAGGTCACCTGATTAGGTTACCTAAGTTAGTGGGCTAGAATTCAAACCCAGGAAGCCTGATTTCAGATCAGAGGCCCCTCACTGCCATACCAGAATGCCTCTCAAACTCAGGATGGATTCAAAAAAGGCATAAGAGCATTGTTATTATATCAGAACCCCTAGATGCTCCATTTGCCAAGGCTGCTTGGAGTCACTTGGCACTCTTCCCCCACCATGGATAGCTTTCTCCACCAAAGTGCTGGTTCAGATGCAAGAAGTATATTCCCATTTCTGTTTTGCACATCCTCAGGACCCCCAGTGACCTCAGCATGGATGAGAGGTTTGCCAGTGTTGGAAATGCATTCGGGCAAGAAATTAAATGAATTATTGGGTTTGGAAAACAAACAGCTGGTAGGAAATGTGTATTTTTTTTCCCAAATAAAGATTTCAGATGCTTTTCAGAGGGCTATCGATCCACTGGTAGGAAAGATGGCAGGCAAAGAGGGGTAATTTGTGAGCAATCAGATATATGTTCTTGTTACCACAAGTGAGTACAATGTTGTTGCCTGCAAGGCCGCCACCCCTGTCAATAATGCATGAAGAGGAGATTTGCTGGGCAGGTCTGCTGCTACTGAGCTGCTACAGTAAATATGCATTTGGAGTCATTTGTAATTACATAAAA